ATCTGACAGCACCCCCTCAAGGCCTGCAGATGGACCCAGGGGAAGAGCAGGGCAGAGAGATGCAGGCAGAGACCCTGGCCTGCCAGTGTCGCCATAGGTATCATTAATGCTATGGGAGGCCTCCTGGTTATTACTGTGGATTTAATCCTCTGTGTGCAAGATTCCAGGGCCTTTGGTATAGCCAGCAAGCACTTTCCAAGCACTGTCTCAGGGAATTCTCAGAAAAACCAGAAAGGGCAGGGAATTCTCAGAAAAACCCTAAAGGGCAGGTGTTTTTATTGTCTTAACAAAAGGAAAACAGACTTCAGGGCCATTAAGGCCCAAGATTAAATAAATTACCCAGAGTAATATAGATAGGAGCCAGAGTGAACCTGCCTTATTGCCAAGGCTGTGCTTTTCACCTGAGCCACGGTATCCTAAAGGGAGAAGAGCTGGAGTTCAAGATTCTCATGCATCACTGGATACGTTTTTGTCTAGGCTCTGTAGCCCATAGTCAGAAAACTCCTAAATCTTTTTTTTTTTTTAATAATTTTTAGTTGTGGGGCTGAGAATTGAACCCAGTGCCTCGCACATGATAGGCAGGCACTCTGCTAATGAGCCACCACTCCAAACCCCACAAAAAACTCCTAACTCTTACTTAGCTAATATTCAATAGGCTTCCCCATTTCTGTACCTCTTATTAAGCACCTTGAGTTGAACAATATCCCTGGAAATCTGGATGGGAATTCCTTACAATAGCAGACTCAAGGATCTATGGTCTGAACACATGTGGCATTTGCATTAACACTCAGCTAGCCAATGCCCAGGGCAGACATAGCTAATGGATCATGGCACCCTCACAGTCAGGCACTTGGATATGGGGTCACAAGCCAGGAACTGTTGAATGAAGAGAGTTCAGTAGAGAAACACAATCAAGTGCCATCCTGGTTTTATGCCCTTTTCTAAAATAAACCACTATGTTCAAGACTGCTTGAATATCAGCCTAAGATTTCAGAAGCAGCCAGGGCAGTATGATTTGAAAATAAACCTCGGGGCTCTAGATGGTCTCGAAGAATAAAAATGAAGTAGGCTTTGCCTGGTTCATCTGGTTATCTGGGGGTAAAAGGGAACATCTGTATTTAGCTAGCTGCAGTCAAATAGGGACAGGAAACCCACATTCCACAGGGCCATGACAAAGTTGTAGAATTTCCAGATTAAAATTATCTTTAAGTTTTGGGTAGATATTGCCTGGAGAGAAAATCTTGTGTACTTCTTGCAAAAGCCTTCCTTGGGTCCTCTCTCCTCACTTGCACATGGATGGGAAGTGGCTCTTGAACAGTGCACAGCCTTCCCAGGGGTTCCTTCTGGAACAAACAACCCTTCTTTGAATATACCCAAAGCTTCTTTGCAACAAGATGGTGAGTAACTCCATTTCATGAGCAGCGCCACTCATAAAATGTCAAAAGCCTTATTTCTCTGAAATAGACAGACTGGGGCCAAAGAAACGCACAAAGGAGGGTCTCCAGCAATGCCAATTCCCAATGCCCTGCAGCAATTGATAGGAGCAGAGTGCTACGCTCACGCTTGGCACACAGACTGCAGCATTCTGCTTCCCGCTGAATTCTCAGCAATGGAACCTCAAAGCAATTTGGCTCATTCCCCTGATGCCTGAGAATTTTCTTCTACAGCTTTTCTGAGCTACAGGGCTCCATGCAGCCACCAGAAGCCACCAAAAAACAAACAAACAACCCACCCTCCATTGTCACAACAAACAGATACTTTTTCCATGGGGAACTACAGGACTCAATATTCCTGGTCCTGATGTGGCTTTCAAAAAGGTGATTTGGCCTTCAATTGCATTATCCATCACAGAGGTTTTCTGACACCATATCTTCCTTTTTTAAAATTTTTTGGCTGGTATCCTTGTACTTTAAAAAATATATAACAATTCTATTACCCTTATAGCTTTAAATTTTAATAAGAACGGAATGCATTAGTTTGTGCATTCAGGAGATGAGCTCTGGATTATTTCATCCTGCGCAATTACCTGCAGAAAACAGTGATTAATCATAAAACGGTTTCCTCTGTTATCCGAAAGCTAGGAAGTTGAAGAGAGCAATAGATTCTCTGCATTCTAAACTGATTCCCCTCCTCGTGGTCTCAAAAAGAGATTATTTTCAGCATCCACATATTACCAGCCTAAGGGGGGAAACCTCAGCATGTCATTGCACCAAGTACCACTGATAATAAGGAGCACAACCAGAAATCACAATGCTTATACTTTCACATCACTTAACTGCAACTTATTTCCAGTAGGAAAAAAAAAATTTACTTTTCAAATATATTATTTCTGATATTTATGGATATAGTTCTGATACTTCTTCCTTTCCTTTCTCTCCTTCCCTTGCCACTTCTGGTATCTTCAAAAAATTCCCTGATTATTTTCCTTCTAAATTAGTTCTAACACATGAGGAAACATTTCGTTCATTAGAAAAATGCTTCTGAAGTGCTGCTCTGTGCACCAGAAACATGTCATGGGCAAGAGTGGCAGAGAAGGGTCCGCAGTCTTCATGGATTATTCCAGGGGAGAATTTTTCTACCTTGTCCTTCATTCGTTTTTCCAGTTAAATTTTAAAATTGCACCCAGCAGGCCACCAGTTCCACCTGCCCTAAGGGCCACACTGACTCACGCTGACCATAATACTGTGTTCAATTACCCGATGTTAACAAAGTGAGAAATTCTGAAAGATAGAGTGTGCAGAATTTCAGAGGGCTCCTTAATCACCGCACAAATGGAAGCACAGTCGCACTGCCATACCCACCTGAGACCCTCCGTACTCACTTGTAGATTCCAGGCGCTTGACATCCCTCGATGTTTCCAGGAAGTATCGTCGGAGAAACAAGAAAAGGATGGCCAGGGGAACCAGCGGAATCGCGATCCAAGGAATCACTGCCACGGCCACAGACACCACACTGATCACCACCAGCAATGTCTGCAACAGCAGAGAGACAGGGCCTCCTTACCCAGACAGCTTCTGAGCCACGAGCACTAATGGATACTTTGTCGAGGATTCTAGTCCTTTCCTCGAAAGACTTGTTGGAAGAGGAAAAACTTTCCCGAACCAGGAAATAAAGGAACAAGTGACAGAGAAGTAAGTCACCCATCACTGCTGGGCTCCAAGCGTCATGCAAAGAAGGTCCTATGCATCCATTCTTTTGGTACAGTCAACATCCCTAGGAGACAGGCATTATTATTTCCCATATTTAGTGAGTAGAAAGCTGGGATCCAGAGAAAGGCTGCATCCCAAACTACCACAAATCAAGTCGATGCTCCTGGGAAACTGGCAAGTTGGTGTCACAGATGAGGCTCCCGGGACCTCCGTTAAGCATGGGTGGCTAGGGGCAAATTCAGGGCTCAGAAAAGGAGGAAACTACTTTCAATCTTTCTCTTTGGAAGTGGGGAGGCTCCCTCTTGATCCTCTACCCCCTGTTAATACTCACTGAGTGCTGACTGTGTATCTGGCTCTATGTTAAACCCGTCAGATGAATCAACTACTTTGAGGCTTACAGTACCCCTAGGAAGTAGTAGTATCATCTCAAACGGAGACATTGAGGCACGGGGAGAGGAGAAGCAACTTGATCAAATTTACACCGCATCAGGCACAGAACTGGGGGCCTCACACACTTACCCACCACATGTGCCCTCAGTATACAGCCAACTTTTTATTGTTGAGGAAAAAGTTTTTATGTGGACCTCATCATTTGTCTTTAATTTTTCCTCTAAACACCCTTACTTGAGGAATTCCAGAGTTTGTCAACAGGCCCAATAAAGAACAGACAAAACAAATGTGACAAATATTTTAACATTTCGTAGAAATCTGTGGAAGAGTTTTGATACTAAGTAAACAATCTTCAATGTCTATAAAGGTTTTTTGTTGTATTTTTTTTTTAAATCTTATCTCCTGGATATACATTTGCTTTTCTGCCATTAGGATAAGCATTTGAAATGTCTATTTCAAAGGCAAATGATAATCGCAAGAGCAGATGCCACTTATCAGGCATCTAAGGGTGCAGGGCTCTGTGCTAATATTCACTTAATAATCAAGTCCCCTGTGAGCTGATTTTATTTAGGGAAACTATCTTAGTCTAAAAAAGACACCAAACAGAAAAAAACCAAGCCACTGGGGGATGCTGATTTAAGTATTCAGCTTTATCAAGACAAGAATGAAACTGTGGCCTGTGACTTAAGATGATGGGGCTGCAATTGAACACTCAGTGTTCCCCTCAAGAGAAGCACACACTAGCTTCCCTGGGGAGGGCAGAAGGGCCCTGGTCCCAGGCTCGGAAGTTCACAATTGTACACAAAAACATATCACTCGGCAGAAGGCACTGAGTGCTGTGGAAATACAGGCAGGTGTAGACAAGGCCCTCGTGAGAGTTTTGAGGATCAGAAGGTGGCTTCACAGATACACACGTGATAGCGCGTGCGTGTGTTCGTGCGGCTGTCACAGGTGCCTGCCTGTGATTTTAATTCTCCGTGTGCAAGATTCCAGGGCCTTTGGCATAGACCTCAGGCACTTTCCAAGCACTTGTGCTCCGTGCTCATCAGTTCTGGTGCCTTCCTCACTGGGTGGCTCCCCAAGGAAAGGGTGAGGGGGTGACACCCCCAGAAACCTGTTAGTGTGCAGAGCTCCTCAAGTCAGTTTTTTGGGGGAATCATGGCAACCATATTGTAATGAAAAGAGGACTGTCACTGGCATTTGTGTAATAAGAAAACTGGTGCCTAAGAGGTTCCGATGAAGTCAGTGTCATGGAGAAGGCTAAGAGTGGTTGGTATTCTGGGAGCCCAAGGCCTTAGTGGCCTGTAATTCCCAATGCAGGGAAGTGCTAAGCCCCCAGGAGCCGGAGGAAAGAGGAAACTTCCAGAGCCATGATCTGATGGCTGGAGCTCCTGAAGTCAAGGTGGGTACAGACACATGCACCCTCCCGGTCTCTATAGCAACAGCAGTACACAAACCAGAGGGAAGCAGAATGGAGTTTCAGAGGAACAAATCCCGAGTGTGGGAATTCCAGCTGTTCGACCCCTTGCCTTTTCTGTCTACTGATGAACTGGAACACACACTGCTCAAAAGTCAAAAGGTTTTCTGTACGCTCGGAAGAAGGACTTTTTAGCGCCTTCCAGGCCTGGTCTTAGGTTCACCATCATTAGTTTTGGGGGGGGGGGAATCACCCAGGAAATTATGAGAAACAATACACAATTAAAATTTTTAGAGCAAACTTAACATAATTTAATTGGGTGATACTCATCAGTTCAATGATCTGGCTCTAAGATGAAGGACTTCTAGGGCTAATCTGGCCTGCCACAGGAAGCAGAGTTACACTTGAACCAAAGGGCGTTGTGCTCTTTTCTCAGGGTCCACTGAAGACAAGTAACTGCTCCCAGAAGCTCCCAAGTTAGTTTCGGTCTTTCAGATCTTATGGGCCCAAATTTGTAAGCAATTCATAGAAGCTTTCTGGTAAGTTCTAGTTCCACTTGCAGGTCTTGCCTCCCAGTGAAGGGAAAGTCACATTCTCTTTTTCATGCATGTGTGTGTGTGCGCACACAAACACAATCTATACACATATATCACTATATATCACACATATAGGTCCCATGCATATATAAACATGTATGTTTACTTGTATATACATAACTTAAACTCTTCATGAAAATTGGCACAGGACAAAAATACCTAAGCAAAAAGCTACAGTCTGAAGGGGGGGAAAAGAGATTCCAATATGTGATGAACATTCCTCCCAAGAAATCAATCTCATCTCTTCCTTCCAGATTCCCAGGGATTCCCAGAAGCTGAACCCATGGTACCCACCAGCCTGCTGCCATGCCAAGGCACAGAGAACAAGGATGTGTGTACAGCCTGGAGAAGGGACTGGCCCCAGCCCTGATGCCCTGAAAGGTGAGGGGAGGCGTCATTCTGACACACCTGTCACCTTTGGGTATAATACCTGGGAATTCTACCCCAAGTTTTATAATTCTGCATGAACAAATACAAACAAGTCTTGGATAAAAGCTTTCACTTGAGATTTCATAACTTGTAGTAGGTATGTAGCTTTTAGAAATGACAACTTAGAACCCAAGGGTAAATTCCTTAAGTCTGGTGTGGAGTGCTAGGATGGATTTAGGGCCGATCCTCTTCAATATGAAACAGGAAGGGTGAGACTTCCCATCTTTCTGAATGTAGTAAAAACCAGGCTATGCAAACAAACCCAAAGGCTGGTGGTAGGATAAAGTATTATTGGCAGTTCTTGCTTCACAAGAAATAGCTCGGCTTCCCTTATCATTACTCCCAAGTGGGCTGCTTTTGCAGCCAAGACCAGAAGAGGAGGAACAGCATATCCAAAGACCTACAGTCCCAGCCGGGCTCAGAGGTGTGCACATGTAATTCCAGTGGCGTGCGAGGCTGATGCAAAAGGATGGAGAGTTCAAAGCCAGCCTCAGCAATGCCGAGGTGATAAGCAACTCAGAGAGACCCTGCCTCTAAATAAAATACAAAATAGAGATGGGCATGTGGCTCAGTGGTCAAGTGCCCCTGAGTTCAATCTCTGCCAATCCCCCCACCCACTCCAACACACTCTCACACACAAAGACTTCGAGGAATATCACGAAATTGGAGCATGTGACCACTGGGCAGCTTGATTCCAACCAAGGACACAAGGAAGCAAGCACTTTGTTTCCTAAATTTCTCATGTACCAAAATGATATTGACTTTCGCCAACCATGTTTAAGGTCTATCTTGCTCAAATGTGCGTTCTTGACATAAAATGGCCACTAAACTTCATGCCTTTTACTGTCCTTTCCAAATATTTTTTCTAATTCTCAGCATTGATAACTTAGAGAACTGGAGGTAACTCAATATTTTTTAATATGCTTGTTTTATTCTATAACCTTTTTTGTTTGTTTCAAGTCTTTGCTTCTTTTCAGTGAAGAATTACTGTTCTGAGATTGCTGAGCATTTCAGGGATACTATGAGAAAAGGTACCAAACTCAAATACCTACTTAGCATATTTGGTATTTAAAAAAACAAAATAATAATAATAATAACAACAACAACAATAATAATAATTGTTATTATTATTACCATCAGGGTTTGAATCCAGAGGTGCTTAACCACTGAGCCACATACCCATCCTTTATTGTTTGTTTGTTGTTTGATACAGGGTCTTGCTAAGTTGCTGAGGCCGGCCTTGACCTTGCTATCCTCCTGCCTTAGCCTCCTAAATTGCTGTGATTACAGGCATGTGCCACCATGCCCAGCATCAGAAAAAGATGAATTTGGTATTTCATTTCCAATGCATCATGAACTGTTGTGTCATTATCAAGAGAAAAACAAAAGCTAGATATTGTACATTAGTGAATCCCAAGAAATTAAACTGTGTCCATTCCAGGTCAGCCTCCATGGTAGTAAGCAAGCATCCTGACCTGGGTGTCAGGACGACAAAGGTGAAGGACCTTATTTACCACTCATGGAAAGGATATCCAGAGCACTTCATCCTCAGACAGAGCTGCCTGTGAGCAGCTGTTTCCAACAAACCACACTTACATCTAAATGAACTGCTAACGAGGCGTGCAAAAGCAATAAACGAAAAAAAATGATGCTTATGAAAAATGTTAATTGTGGTGTTTAAAACACTGCCCCCAACCAGGAAAATGTTACTTCCTTGCTAGTACATATGGCAAATGTCCTCAGAATATTGAAGAAATTACGCAATTTTCTATATCTAGTTGACAACCAAAGGAAAGTACAATTGCCTTGCCCTTTGAAATACCAGGAAAAAAAAAAAAGATAACACTTCATGATGCTTGCCTTGTGTGCAACCTCTTAAGTATTTCACCTGCATTATCTAACTTCATTCTCATATCTGATCTAAGTAGCAGGGCTTATCACCGCCATTTACAAAGGAGAAAACAGGCTCAGGGGTTAAGTCAGATAATACAGTCACTTTAATCCCAAGTCTGTTCTCTTAATCTCTGCATGATAGCGCACCCCATGTAAGGTTCATATTTGAAAAAATGCCTGAATATATTCCTCTTTTACATACATTTAAAAATTTTGTTGGGTTTCCTGTGGTTGTGTCTGGCCTCTCTCATGAGATTAGACCTAGATTCTCAGCTAATTAGGTAATGAGTTTGCAAGAAGATCTTAAATTGCTTGCTAACAGAACACAATGAGACATGTTGATTTTAGGACTATTGTTTCAAGCTAAAAAAAAAAAAGAAGAAGAAGAAAGTTTCATAAGAAAAATGAATTTGTAAGCCTCAAAATGACTTAAGAGGGGAAGAATCAAATTTAGTAAAGACACAAAATCTAAGAACACAAAGCAAGAGTTGATTACTTTGCATGCACAAAAGCTGTATTTGAATGGTGGTAAAAATAAAAATTTTGTCCCAAGCAGATACTCTAGAATTAATATCATACTGTAATATAACAGGTTTTAATGTATTTTCACGGGCAAATTTCCATTACAAGTACTCATCTGCCTGTTTGGAATCTGTCTACCAAACAGCTTATAGTTCTGTAGGAACGTCTAGGTATCTACCTGCAATTTACTTTACACTTAATTCCATAGGATTCTGTTCCAACAAGTGTAGGAAGCTTGTGCCAAATAACTTGTTTCCTATAAACAGCAGTAAAAATATATTCTTCTTATTTTATGCAAATTCATGCCATTCATCCTTCTGCCTCACTCCTTATTTGAACTCTGTCTCATACCTGTTATTAGGCACAAAGTGAAAATTTCATATTTAGTCATAAGGCCACTTAATCAGTACACAGTACTCCTATTACTTGTTTACAGTATTAAAAAAAAAAATAAGATCAGCACCATCAAGATTGCTAACACCTCGGTGGAACTGGAAAGCTTTTAATACTGCTGTCAGTCAGCCTCTAGAATTCCATTCCAGATTCTGATAAGTGCAAATCATCCAGATTGCCTCGAACTATTATTGATTTTGCAGAAGATATGACTTCAGTGCAATAAATAAAGCAGGAGTCACTTCTTGGCAAGAAAGCATGGCAAGATTTTCCCTGATTTAGAAAAAAGTAAAACAAAAACAAATACCCGGATGCCTAGTTTTTTGATCAGTAACCTGTTTACTCATGTGGGTGTCAAAGAGATTCTTCCATCTATTTATTCTAAAACACATGGAGATAAAAAAAAAATTACCTCTGGATGAAATGACTATCATAACAGACTGTGTTGCTGGCTAACACAGGATTCTTGTGGAAGCACTAAAATTCAAAGCAGGCAGTACAAATCTCCAAGAGTGTTAAGAAATAAAAATGTGAGTCCTATCAAATTATACACTACCTTGCAATTACAGGATGAGTCCAAGCCAAGGGGAAAATATGGAAGGCCTTAAAGGTAAGCTCCTAAGCCTTAACACTGACAGCCTCAGCATAAAATTCACAGGTGTGACTCTTGTGTCAGTGTGGCACCTGCCCTTGGGCAGTTCAGAGGTCAACTCTGGTTCCCAGGTCTATTGTTACTGGACCCTCCTTGGGAGGTCTCTCCTCTGTCACCTGGTTCTTTTGACCTCCACCAACTCTGTTACCTCTGTTAAGTCAGAACTTTAGGGGATGCTGGCATGACTGATTCCTATGAGGAGATCCACAAACATGTTCTTAAGATTAAGCCTTTCTGAATTTGGATATAGTAACCACTCCTGTATCCTTCACTTGGCTGGTGATCTTTTCATATGCTGAGCAGTCCGTGGACCTATGTCATCCTTCAGTTAGCTCTGCATCTTGAGTCAAGGCCAGCTGCACTGAAGAGAGAATGGCTAGTGGGTTACACCCTGTTCAGAAACATAGGAGAGAAGGCAGGAGGGAAAGCAGCAACCATTCCTGCCTTTGGTTCAGCACATCTGATCAAAGTCTTCCTTTCCATCTGCCTTCAGTGTCAATAAACTCACTATAAAACCCAAGGAAGGAGTCTGAAGAGAGACTACTTTTTAATTTTTTTTAACATTTTTTTTTTTAGTTGTCGATGGACCTTTAATTTATTTATTTATATGATGCTGAGAACTGAACTCAGTGCCTCACACATGCCAGGCAGGAGCTCCACCACTGAGCCACAACCCCAAGTCCTGAGACTTCTTTTAAAAGGCACATGTTAAGGGCTAGAGTGTGGCTCAGTAGTACAGTGCTTGCCTGGCATGAGATTCCCAGCACCACACAAAAGGGGGGGAAAATATATCAATTTATATGAATCTGAAAATATAGTTCCAGAATACATAAAGCAAAATCTGACAAAACCCAGGAGAAACAACTTCAGTCACAGTGGGAAATTCTGGCCCACTTATCTCAACAACTGATACCACAAGGATATACAAATCATAGATATAGAAGATGTGAAAACATGATAAACAAACTAAAGGCTATTTTCTACATTCTTTTCAAGTGAATATGTACTATGCCACAGAGCAAATACCAACAGACTTCAAGGGACAAAAATTATTCAGAATATATTTGACTTAAGTGCATTTAACAAGGACTCAATCAGAAAATCACTCACTGTAAATTCAGCAATACACTTCTATATAAAACCCAGTAAAAGGAAATAAACATAAAATTAGAAAGAATTTTGAAAAAATAAAATGAAGATCTATCTAATAATACTAAAATTTGAAGTATGCAACCAATGCTGTGTTTAGAGGTAAATTTATAGTTCTAAAGTAAATCTTTTAAAAACAGAAAGGCTAGCTAAGTATGGTGAGGCATACCCGTAATCCCACCTACTTGGAAAGCCATAAGGACTCAGTGAAACCCTGTCTCAAAATAAAAAATAAAAAGGGCCAGGGATGGGACTCAGTGGTTAAGCATCCCTGGATTCAATCCCTGGTTTCCAAAAAAAGAAAGGAAGGAAAGAAAGAAAAGAAATAAAGTTCAAGGCCAGC